TTACAAATACAAATATGAAAATTTATTTAAAATAATTATATAACTTTTGCATATACTTATCTTTTAAAAAACATATTTCAAATATTTATATTTTTTTATCTTTTACAGATGCTAATTTTAAATACCTATTTTTGTATTATCATTTAAATTACTTATATTTTAATATATCTAAGTAGAAATTCTTTCGAATTCATCTTTTTGCGTGAGAAAATATTTCATTAAAGAAAAGAACACGTGAGAAAGTATTTATTTTATCATTTGATGCGGACGATCCTAATGACATGATGATTTACACATGTTAATACCCATATGTCTTTTGCTTAGGCAATAAAATTCAATGAGAAAGATCTGATTAAGTCAGACGATTTCACGAATAAGATGCCGGTCTCATCAACCTTTATTGTGTGCCAAGCAGTTGAAACAGTTTCAAAAACTGATATTTTAAACATTACGAGATTAGGCTTAAATCTTTACTGAATCTGCTTGATAAATAAATAGCATTATATGTAATTATAAAACATCCGTCCAAAATGACATCAAATTATATGAAACGATTCACTTACATTACTATCTTGATCGAAAGTTGTCACTTGGTAAACAAATTGAGGATCACTTGTGATTTGAGTGAGCGTCAAGTTCTTGGGTAGGTTGGTAATAACTGGCGGATACTTGTTACGAAGAATATTGAAGGTAATAGTAGCCTCATTGGCTGAAATTTTAGGCGACACCCCTTTGTCTTGAACTTTGACTTTTACCTTGAAGAGAATTTTAAGAATTAGATTATAATTATACTGCCTGCATTGTAAGTAATTTTTAATATGTGTTTATTAGTTAATAAGGCATATACACGAACACATTCACACACGTTCATACTCTCACATTAGGCCATTTAGATAGATGGCTAGCAAGCTAGCTTATCATACCATTGGCTAGTTGAGTGAGTTCGAGCATTAACGAAGACTGTTAAAATCAATATAAATATATACATTAATATTAACATTTTTATATACATTATTTATATTCAGACTAATGTCCTCATCTTTGTTGTTATTATCCCAATCTTTCACCCTTTCAGGTATACCTATTGATCGGCGTATATTTCAGGAAATTTTGAACTCTACTTAATCTACGGCACAATAACCTGGTGCATTAAAGCGTCGGTTGGTGAATTTGTCGCGCATAGTAATTGCGAGTTCAATCTCGGGGTCAAGTAGTACAGACTCAGATTCATTGAAACAGTGTGATTAATAACTGATCAGTATTAAATAAGAACCAATTGAGATATCACCATACACATGAACAGTGGAACATGAACTATCTACCCCGTAGATGAAATAAAGTGTTCAATTCAAAATTCCTATAAGGTTAAACAAATCGACAGACATCTGAAAATGACTGAAGAGTACAACAGCCGAAACGTTGTGGTAATAACAACTAAGATGAGGATATTAGTCCGAATGTAAATTATGTAAATAATGATAACTTCTCATACCAGAAATTCAGACAGAAACTGTTAACATCTATATAAATACATTCACAATTGCACAGGTACAAACAGATAACCCATTGTGAGATTATCTGTTTTACGAATCTGTGGCTAATTATACAGTTAAAAAGCGGTTTAAAATCTAAGTAACTTTCATATTTTTTCTCCATTCAGAAAGACAAAGTTGGTTTACTTACCGTGTATTGATCGATGTTTGTATTTGCTAGAGGTGAATTAAGGTAGATTTCACCAGTCTCTGGGTTGATACTAAACATTCTAGACACGGTGGTAAGATAAAATTTCAGTTCATTGTAGGGAGCCTGAAATAATAATGATAATAATTATCTAATTAAAATCAGGTAAAATTTATTACCAATAAAAATGGAGACAAAGTTATTGTACAATATTAACTCGATTAAACGTTTCGCAATTGTATATACTGGAATAACTTGTACAAGAGATCGGATAAACTTAAACAAACGTAAAACAAATAATATAGTATCTATTCTATAATTTGAAACATCATTGTGTTTCATAATAAAGACTATAAAATATTAACTTATTCTTTAAGGTCTATAGGTATTTATTAATCACGCAGCCTGATCCACTATTATTTGTAATGAGATTTCAGTTGTTCCGATTTATAGATTGCATTACTTGACGCTAACAAGAAAATATTCCTAGTATTATCATAACAACAGAATATCTCATAAGTAGAAGTTACCGGACTATTAATACATAGCTTTCTATATTTCTTTTGTTTTGGTTATTTTTTTAAAAAATTTTATGATAAAAAACAGATTTTTTTTTATGTACAACAATAGAGTGAACTTAATATTACTTAAATTTGGTTGCCATTTTATGAGAGTTACAGGTAAACTCGTTTTATGTAACAAATAATTACATTGTTTTGTCGTTATAAAATCATGACTTCTTAAAACGTTTAGTTGTTCTTATTATATAAAAGTTATAATATATAATAATTATTGTTATGAGTTATATAACAGTTATAATATATAAGACGTTGTTAAAAATCATAATTATAGAACGGTTATAATACATAAAATCGTTGCTAAGAATTTTAATTCCGACAGATTTTTATTACTTTAAACGTTATTTTTAGTGGAT